TGGCACGAGTAGGACCCTGCACCCACCACACGCAAAATAGGCGCTTTGTCGTCGAGTTGCGGATACCAGCCCGTTGCACCAAGTACCAAGTACCAAGTACGTAAGAGTTGTCGTATGCGACCTGAACAAATACTATTGTAATAATTGATCTCACCCTAAGTTCCCATATTGTTAATATTTTGAATGAATGCTTATAAAAACATTTTCTTTATTTCTTGACGATATGAATACATCCTAATGTTACCTGTGCGTAACGTTTCGAACATGTGAGATACGTTACATGTAAAAGTCGTGTGAGTAACATTTATTTTAACTAATACCCTAATACGGGTAATACGTAAGTATCCTATTAAACATCGCAGTCGTGGCGTATTGCACCAACTTTTCACAACAAGATTTTGTTTTAAATGTCCACGAGAACGGAAAAACCCTGAGATGAAAATAAACTTAGCTTAATATTTGTTAGCTGCTCTACAAGGAAAGTTTGTGCAACACATTGTCAAAATATTATGAAAAGGGATTTATCACGAGAAATGGAACTAGTGCTCATTTCACACTGAGAGACGCGGATGAGAAGTCAAGTAAATTATACTACAAAAAGGTGCTTATGGTTCATTATCATTTTCATTCTGTTGCGGTAGTGAGTGTGATACGACTCAGCCATCGCTTTGGAAAAAAAAACACACAATACAATCAAGAAAAAAATTATACACACAACTAGTGCACGCGTTCCAAAGACAAAACGTTTTTTACCTAATTTTGTGGTAGGAAAGTTTAACTAAATTCAACTGTCTCCATGGCCGAACGGTTACCATGCTGGACTGACACGCATAGGCCTCGTGTTCGATTCCCGGGCCGGGAGAAATGTTTCTATGGTCGACATTTATTTCTCTCGTGAGTTTGGGTGTAATTTGTGATTATCTATGTGTGTGTCCATGGCAATCGCGATACAGGGTTTGCCTAGTTCGGGACTAAAAAAAAAGTATTAAGGTTTAAATATAATTACTTCAAATTCTTTGTAAGTAATGGTGCAATCTGTTTTTGTATATTTAAAATTTTATTATTATTATGAAACTCTTTGAATATCTTTTTGAATGAACAGTTTGAATTAACCTTTATAATATGATAGGGAGGAAAAGTTTTTAATTGGAAAAATTCAGTGAACGCGTGCCAGCGGTGAGCAGTTTGAGGCCCGATAGCGACTTGGGAAGTTGGTCGAGATGAAAAATCAATTAGAATCAGTTATACATAGCGATCAACAACGTGTATGTGAAAAAGAGGTCAAGTTTAGAGTAACGAACTGGCGGGACTGTCGGGTTCAATGTTTTTATATTTTTTAGATTCGATCCGGTCCGGTTCGGACCCATCCCATCTCATCTTATCTTATTGTTTCCTTTAGCCCATTGACCTAATTCCATACCAAATTTAAGGTTTCGAAGTAATCTAGCGGGGATCTAAAGTTTTGATTACAAGGATTCCATTGCAAAGTTATTGAAGAGCGTTAAAATTAGAAATATACAGACTTCTAAAGCTCGAGAATTGTTTGACCTATTTTAAATAAAGAGCACTTTTCAGTTATTTTAATATTATCTGTCAATATTTTTTGATAATGAATTGCTATATTTTTGTACAAAAATATCTGTAAGCCGATCGTGTTATACTAAAAGTGAAAACATAAATTAGTTTTGCCACAAAGGCCCGATTAAATGTTATAAAAATTTTGCGTGAATAAAACGAGGTGCACATGGATGAACTTTCATAACCAAATAAAAGGTCAATGACAAGAAACTGACCAATCATTCAATTAAAAGTTATAAAAATTAAAGTAGTCATTATTTTGCTATAAGATCATAAAGATAGTAGACATAACGTGTTAGACTTTGAATTGTGACAGGTATTTTGAAAGTATTAGCTATCTTGGCGTTGCTTTAGCATACAAAATACAGAAGAGATTTTCTCGGAAAATTTAACGTTTCTAGTACTATAGGACGTAGCGCAGGCAAAACCACGCGTGCTCACCGTTAGGAGTCTTAGCACATTTTAATAACAGTGGCAGTATAACACCAACAATGCACATTTTACATTTTCTGAATTCAATTTCCTGAATTTAATTCAAAATTCTTTCGCGAGCGTTAAGAATATACTTCCGTTGAAGAGCCAATTTGAGCCTTCGTGACGCATCTGTAGGGGCGAGTTTACAACTCATAGGGCTTTCAGTTGAGAATTATTAAATCTTGATGCTAAATTCGACCCTTCAACTTACGGTGGTTGCTTGTGGGCTATGCGAAGAACTATTTCAGAGGCAATTATTCAAATTAAACGTCTTGACTTGCCTTTATGAGCAACAGCCTTGTATGGAATAAGTTTCACGATTAACACTTGCCGGATCCGTATTCTTGAGGCCATCCAAAATTACGGGTAATTAAAAAGGTCAAGGAAAATAATAACAAACCTACGTGTTCGAACAGTTTTAAGTAAAAGGAAGGAACAGTCCAAGTACAAGTACACTGCCGGCATCAGTTATTCCCGAAAACATCATTTAGAGGTTATTCAAGGCTAGATTGAATAGGCACATTATAGACAAACGCGGACTGTAGCGTCGGTTACGTCATCGCTTAAAATCAAATGAAAATGACCTCAAGGGTAAGTGCGTTATTTCAATTTTTTTTAAATATTGGAAGTAAAATCTATGAAAATGTGCTTTGGACTGCGTCGATGCGAATCCTTTGTAGTTCAGCGATACGCTTGTGTGAACTACTTGTGCGCCTGGTGATAAGCGACACACTTGTCCATGCCAGTTGCAGTGTCGCTCAGAGCTTTAGACCGCAAGGATCAAGGGACACTACCCCTGCGCCTGTCGCCTGAGACGTAAGTTGACAAGTCTCATGTGCCTGTATATTTCACCATGTCCTGTTAATAGCACGGGAGATACTTCTATGCACTTCTGTGTGGGAAGTAGGGTGTCCAAGATCATCATTACAATTTTAAAAAAAAACAGGATTTTATGTACTTTAAGAACGCGCGTTTAATTACCAATTAAGTTTAATATAGGATATTTTACTTCATTGCATAACAACATAAACCGACGTCAAATTAAATAACATAAAATATAGTTTTATAATACACTTCAACTTTTGACTTAGACCGCACGGTATTGAAAAACGTTGCAGCTCGCAGAGAAGTTTATTAAACGTAATTGCAGTGCATTGCTTACAATTTCTCAAGCTCCAGGAAATGATTTTTTAAACTTAAGTACATTTAACACAGAAGTTTTATATTAATTAATTGAAAACTGTTGAGCTGTTTTTTATTTTATTTCATCAATCTATTAAATTAAACGTCATTATGGAAGAACTAACCAATCAAGTACCACGATTGGTTGGCTAATTAGCAGACGTGGAGGTTTTGAAGCCAAGAAGAAAATATTTCTAGTAGTTTCTTGTCGACGCTGATTTTACCGACCACATTAATGTCGCTAGGAAATCATTAGAGTAATTATATTCGTGGCACTAAAACTTCTACGTCTATTATAATAGTAGTTTTAGTGATATTGATAATTTGTTTATTGTGTTGTTTCGATTCTGTGAGAGAATATATATACACAAGTACATATATACTGCTGCTAAAATCATAACCTTCCATTAGAAGAAAAAAAAAACAAATGTCCTTTCAAAATTAAACGGTTTAAACTAAATGCACGACCCACTAGATTTAAAATCACAATTTGGCTCAACTAAAATGTTTCTTTAACTTAAAATTTTTGAAAATAAAATGCACGTGGGATCTGGCACCCCGGACGTGGAAAAACCAAGTAAGACCTTGTACTCGGTGTATTTACCCTCAATGTTTTAGTTATTGCAAACTTTCTTACAATTTAACCGTTGCATAAATGAAAAAGCGTCAGCTGATTATTGCACGTTGTTGCATGTGCCACAATAGTGACACAACTTAGCGGCAGATTGCTATTGAGAGTGCCGTTTATCAAATTCCGATTTCATTCATGATATAATACATCATCTCATGGTCTTATAATAGTGATCATATTATGATCACTCAAAGTGTGAAGGTCACATGGACAAATCACAAGTCGTATATTATTATTGTGTCAAACGGATATTAATATGTACAGTTGTTGGAGTAATTACCATAAAACTGATGAACTCTTCTTTTTTAGACTCGGCTAAATAAGTCCAGACGCTTCACAATAATATCTTTTACACCCAGTTTCAAGCCTCGCGTGTTGCGTGTTCACAATTGTTTGCAGAGGGCCTCGGCGTGCGGCACACACAGGCTGTGTTGATGTGTCTGGGGCTCGGGCTAGCGTACATGATGCGAGTCAACATCAGCATCGCCATTGTGGCCATGGTCGACGCCGCCTACGGCGATGACGTGAGCTTCTCCAGCGAACGCGTTTATTTAACCGCAGGTCGACTTACTGAGGACCTCCATGGTCGAGTGGCTCGCACACCGGTTTTCATGGTGTCGCCATCTCTGAGGTCGCGGGTTCGATCCCCGGCCGGGTTAGTGTAGAAAGGCCTTAAACCGTTTTGGACACAATTAAACAAATGGAACTTATGAATGAATTTGACGGTTTTTTCCCCAAGTACTCCTATATTCATACAATGTATACCCGCACGTCTTCTCTATAAATATCCATTTTATCTAAAATATCTACTTCGTTACACAAGCTACATTGACATACCATTATGTCTCATATTGTATAATTGCGAAATTATAAAAATTGCAATTAAAAAATTACCGTCGTAACATTGATTGAATATAGGAAATGAAACTATATTTCCGGATTTAAATCGCGTATATTTGTTTTTTCAAACAAACCGACGTTTCGGGCCCTTTACAGGTCCCATGGTCACGGTTGACCAAAAAAAAAATAGTTTCATTTCCTATGTGTAACAATCGCGAAAACCTAAGAACTCGATATTGATTGAATATTTTAAACATTTTATGAAACGATTTTCAACGATTGGCAAAACGGAAAAGAACAATAGCGAAATAATTGATAATTAATTCCTTAGCGTCTTCAAATGTCATAATTAGGAATTTGAATAAAACACATTCATTACGAAATTTCTCCACTTATATTAAAGACCTTGTATTTCTGAAATCGCTGTGTAATTTGTAATCGTAATTTTTGTAAAAAATTTTGTCGTGAAAAATAAATAAATGTATTATTATTATAAAGACCTGTAGAAGTCTGGAAATAAAATCATATTTAAATAACTGATTCGTACGTAACCTAGACTAATGTCGGCTTTTACTAACTCCGATTAACGTTTATGTTTTAATTAAAATAATACACCGAATTTATTTTATTCAATTATGTAAAACATAACCGCCAAAACTAGAAACTGTAATATCTCTAATTCCAGCCTTCTCAGAATAGTAAACCCAAAAACAAAGTTCCGGAATTTAAACTCTATATTTTTTTCATATACAGACGCAAACAAATTAGGCCAACAAAAAATTGTATGGAAATATCGCCATTGTTCTTCAATTCAACCTTCATTTCGAATATGAACAACAATGCAAGCAGACTAGATTCACCGATCGGGAAAGTGTTGGTGCATTCAATCATAAAAGTATTTCCTAATAGACACCACTTTATTTTTAAAACCATTGTTAAATTTTTGGTTCCTTATCGTAAATTCTTCCCGATGCTCTAGGATATAATTCCCATGAAATAACGCCTTTCTGGAACAACTTAGTCAACGTCATGCATAAAATATTACTCAGGAGATTAGAGTATTTTCCCAACGCGGTTGTTTAATATAGATACAATGGGTTTTTCAGGTTTTCAAGTGGAATGTAAAAATCCAGAGCGTGATCCTGTCATCATTCTCTTGGGGCTACTTCATTCTGCAAATTCCAGCTGGAGAGATGGCTAGTCGGTTTGGCGCTAAGATTCTTGTCTGCGTATCCATTGGCTTGAACGCTTTTCTCACCCTCCTAACACCTCTGTTTGCTATTTATGTAAGACCGTACTTTTTGTAACCAGCTGTTAACTGAATGTCGACATTTGTAGCATGCGAAGTGCCACTTAAAATATATATAAATTATTAACTATTAGACGTCATATAGACGTCAATACATAAATTACTTGTGCTGTATTTTTGTCTCAAGGGAGGGTGGCAGGTGGTTTGCGCATGTCGATTTCTCCAGGGATTATCTCAAGGATTTCTCTTCCCATGCACACATACGTTAATTGGAAACTGGGTTCCTTTTGAAGAGAGAAGTCGATTGGGCACACTCATATATGCAGGTGGGTTGGATTAAGCTTAATACCTATCTAGGTTTGTGGGTGTGGTTGAACATACATCAAATGTATATGTAACAATGAGAATAATAAATAGAACATAAATATATGTAACCATTTCATCCGGACTAGTTTTTTGTGGGATATGTGAATAAATTGTGAAAATATTAATAGTGAAATTAAGTTTCATTCCATCCAACAGAAATGACCGGCTTAGGTCTCCCAAATTATTTATTAGAATATCAAACCTTGGACTCTTTCCGTTTTAGACCAAACAAGAACTCCCAGAATATTTCCGTTAATTGAATTTTCAGGAACTCAGATAGGAGCAACAGTTACATATATAATATCGGGATATATAGCAGCCTATATAAACTGGCAATCAATATTCTACATTTGCGGCGCACTCGGAGCTACCTGGGTAGGGATATACGTTGCCATCGGATCTAGTTCGCCACGAGTGTCTAAATACATAAATGCTAAAGAACGTGACTACATCTTGTTTTCCTTGGGGCGGACCACTGAAACTGAGGTAATGAATATTTCGTTCATGTTTGAATTCCATGTACTGCTTTACAACAATGCTTGGGACGACTCCCGTCCCCAGACATTTTGCTGCTAACCTTTCCGACTTAAACTATCGTCGTATCAGTTACGTATGGTATAGCCGGATTACTTAAATGTGCATAGCGGACGTAATGAGTGGAATCACTACATAACCCTCTTGGTTACGAAACTTTTAAAAACCCGTTTGTGGCAAGCTTCAAGTTAATTGTAACAAAACAAACATACTGACAAAAATTGTAACACCTCAATTTCGTTTTTCCAGTACATAAAAACGCCTTGGAAAACAATACTCACATCTATTCCATTCTTGATTCTGATCGCCAGCCATTTTGGCCATACGTGGGGCCATTGGACATTGATAACCCTGATACCTTCTTACTTCGCCATGGTCTCTAAGGTTGACATAAAGCAGGTAAACAATTTATTCTGCTTTTAAAAATACAAACAGGTGCAACAAACACAATGGTGTGCTATAGAGAACATGGATTTGGAATGTAAACCTGTTGACATGATTCAACATGATCCCTAGTAAAAAACATTCGTCAATAAGATTCTTTGTTGTGATATACAAACTTCTCAAGACAAGTCTGGATTAGACAGGTATCCTAATATGAAACCACTTCTCAAGATAAGACAGGGGGTCTACCATAACCTTTCCAAAAACAATCTTAATTCAATGTAAGCTTAAAGTAAGCTTATTATAATATTACTCATATTCGTACCATGATGAACCTGTCAACCAAGTAATGTATTATTGCTAGAGTGATTGAAAGAACGAATGATTTCCCAATATTGTTTATTCCTTACTAAAAATAGGAAAGACATAACGCTTTAAGAGCTATATAAGGCCATCTCTTTCTTTTTTGATGTTCCGAATCGTCTTATAGTAGTGTAATGTAATAAGTACTTAATGTTATTTACATTCATAGAATTTTAACTGTAAAAAAAATAAAAGTATGTAATAATAAAATATATTAAAATTACGTTGTGTTCAGTTATTTTTCCGCATTTTCATTAAGAAAAATAAATAAAACAAGCTGAGTCTTGACAGTCACGTTGCGAATTCGGAGTTATAATATAGTGTCAACTGTTAGTTTCGCCAAGGAGCATATAGATGGCGCTGTCATAATTTTACGAAATAAACTTCGCGTATTTTTATTTAAATAAGAAACAAACAAAATATTGAAGAGATATATGTAAATAAATAACTTCAACTTCACTTGTAATCCTTAAAAATCAATATTAAGACAATAAAAATGAAAATAGTATTCTTTCTATTGCATCCGTGTAACTATTTCAAGATTGGTAAATTTGATATAAGATTAATGACCTAAAGTCGCGTCATAGTACGAACTGAGTGAATGAATAGTCACAGATCTGCCAATAAACCATAATAGTTTTAACATTATAATAAGCTTACGTTAAGCGCGTTATGGTAAGAAAAGGCAATGTAAGGTTTTTTTATATACCTATATAATAGACACACGGTTGGCCACAATCTCACTTGATGTTAAGCGACGATGCGACCGACGACAAACAGGCTGCTGTTTTGCGATGGTCGAGTTATTGTAGCTTCGTCTCCATAAGAGAATTATTGTTAATCTCTTTGCTTTTTGCTCCACCGAGTCCAAGGCAGCTAACTGGTATTGGGCAGAGCCATCCCAAAGGTGGCAGCAGTACTCTATACACGATCGAACTTGTGCTTTCTAAAGATTTAAAAGCTGTTCAGGTATGAAGTACCGCCGGTAAAGTAAGCCTAGTTTTCTGGCAGCAGTTTATGCCAAGGACTCGATGTATCGCCCAAAATTGAGGTTGGATGATAAGTCCAGACCAAGTAGCTCAATGAGGTCCCTTATCGGCACGGACACATCTCGGAAAGTCGGAGTGAGGTGTAGGGGACTCCGTTTTGATGTGAAAAGACACGCCTGTGTTTTAGCCACATTAAACCTGACCCTGTTAGCATCTCCGCAGTCGGAAGCCGCTTTCAGACTCAGGTTCAACCGCTTACATCGGATCTCTTTGCTGTTGTCTCGGGCGTCTGGCACATAACTCTCTACCACTGTGCTGTCGTCTGCGTACCCAAAGATACTGGGCATCAGCGGTAGGTCGTTGATATGCTGCAAGATAGAGTAGCGTAGGGGACAGATCCCTGAGGTACATTTATATCATGAGGAGCAGACAAGTAACCATCTACAACTACACGGATTGATCTATCCTTCAGAAAATCACCTATTAATGTGCAAAAGCCAACAGGAATTCCGTAAGCTGGAAGGCTATCATGCCAAACCCTATCAAAGGCCTTTGATATGTCGAGAGACACGGTTAAAGTAATATTATTTTAAGAGGTTGTGGCAGGCCCCCAGGCCCCTAATGTGAAACCATTATTTTCTTCTACTCTGTTTCCATTTGGTCTCGCCTCAGTTTCCTTAAACAGTGTTAAAATACTTACTCTGCAATTCAAAATCTCGTCAATTGTTCCTGACAGAGATAAAGACTTATATATTTTGGTATTGCACATATATGTAAAGTACAACAGTATTCCTTTTATAGGCATTTTCGTTCTCATTTGGTGGTATCTATTATTTGTTTACATTTTCACAGAATGGTCTACTGTCAGCCCTACCTTATTTAGCTATATTCGTGACGTCTTTCCCAATGGGGTGGCTTGCAGACATGTGCACGGAGAAAAATTGGACGAGCATTACTGTTACCAGAAAAATCTTCAATACCATAGGTAACTGATTTCCTAATTATTAGTTATCCTTTTATTTATATAATTATAAAAAGCATGTAAATACTTGATTCAGGGTATTGGGGGCCAGCGATCATGTTGATTGGACTGTCTTATTCTCCGGCGGGCGACGTTACCGTTGCTGTGTTGTTTCTCTGTCTTGCAATGGCACTTAATGCTGGTAGTTATGCCGGCTACATGGTTTGTATATTTTTAAGATTACATGTAATTCTTTTTAAAAATGTATGAACTGAAGCTTCTTAATTTTTTGGTCGTGATTTTGATCAAATAAGAAGGTGAGAAAAGAAAGTTGTTGATTTGGATTAAAGCAACAACCGAATGATGGCCAACAAGCGGTTACAGAAACGTAAGACGAGCGGCAGAGAGATGGCTAGGTGATATCGCCGTGGTGTATGGTATAAAGTAAAGGAGGTCTAGACGCAGTATTGGGTGAAGTCGGATTTTGGATGATGAGGGTCATAATTTATAAACAGAAAAACTTAAAATACATTGCGTGCATAAATAGTTTGTCCGTAATACATAAATTTCCGACGTATTCGTATTTGTTTATTAACAGCTGGTGCACATAGACATGGCTCCAAACTTCGCAGGACAAATGATGGGCATTACCAATTCCGTCGCCAACTTTTTGGCTATATTCGCGCCACTCGCCGCCGGCCAACTCTTAATAGACGAAGTAAGCGGAATTCCTTTACCGTACGGTATTTACCTTTACCGTGCCCTATTAAGTTAATACAAACTAATTATGGTTACTCGTTTACTTGCTGCGTTTATTTAGTCTATTACATCCTTTTTTCTTTCATTCATGTTTTTTGTTTTGTGTTTAAAGAATGATATTTGTTTAGTAAGATGAATATGTCGTCTATGTAAATCTGAAAAGTAAAAACCAAAGTTAGTTCAACGACAGCACTAATGTAATGGCACTTACAAGTACCTCGCTTTATTGTACTTGAGTTGCGCTGAAGATGTATGTAATCTGAAGATGTTGTCCTCTGTATCCCTAGTATCACTGACCTGTTCTACAAATAGTATAAGTGACATTACTTTGTATCGTAACTACAATAAATTATCATCATCAATACGATATATCGTCCCACTGTCAGACTCGAGTCTCCTCTAAAGATAGGGTTTCATCCGTAGTCTGCACCTCTGTTCTAATGTGGGTTGGAGATTTCACGTTTTCCAAGGGCTGTGAACCTTCTTCGACATGACGTGATGAGGTTTTTTCTACTAAATGTTCACAAATGTACATGAGAACATTCAGTCACAGGGATTCTAGTCAATCGAATATTATTAGAGGTCCACTCATATTGACAAGCAACCGTTCAACTATGCTATCATTACTGTACATCAACTACAATCAATGGTATTTGTAAATCAAATGGGTATTTTAAGTTATTCTTGATCCTATAACAGACGAGCCAGAGTGATTGGCGTAAGGTGTTCTACATGTCTGTGGGCATTTACTTCTTTACGAATCTGCTGTTCATTATATTCGGCGACTGCCGGCGGCAGAGCTGGAACGAGGGCACCGACCACGAAGCTATATACAGTAAAGTTATAATATACCTATTCATATTTCACTAGCTTTATAAGTATTACATTGTATTTCAATAATCATTCTTAGTGACAATAATGCAATAATAAAGTAAAGTAATAATTTTTTAATAACAAAAAAGAGGAGTATAGTGTTCTATTCGCTCGGTGTCTTGCGTTCGGTTTTTGGTTTTGTCACTTTATTATAGAATGTGTTACGTAAGTCCCATCGCATCTGTTTCCAGTAGCATAAGCGCATACTGTAAATTGTACGCTCCTGACGTGTCTCTTTACCTACCCCTTTCAAATTAAACTAATCACACACGACCGTTTATTCTTGATAAATTTGACCAGGCGTTTTTGAAAGACATCCCTATTCTGGTCGAAATATTATGCTAAGGTCGACCTTTCTCTACACTTCGCTCCACGTCTGCTTTATCAACTTGTATTATTACACTATTAACATTCATTATTTCCATGTGACCGAACCATCAAAGCATTACGTTTTCAATCCTACTGTTTGATAATGATTTCTAAGTAACACTGTTAGAGTAAATGTTTCCGTGCTACAAAACCACTTGTTCGACTCGTTCAGTAAACTGAAATTTATTTCAGACGCCTCGAGGTTGTCGCAGGTCGTCGGGTTGAACAATTGAAAATTTAATTAACATCGTGAAGACATTTAATTTAAGTCTATCGTGAAGACGTGGTTGAGTGAAATGTACATAAAATTAATTGATCGTATGTTTTAGAAATAAACAATCTTTTCACGTAATTTATCTGACAATAACCAAAAAGTGTGTTTTATTTGTGTAAATTGTATTTTGTAAAGTGCAGGACACTATACTATTTACTTATAAAAATACAAACGATATCATTTTGTTTTAATAACGCACACACTCTATATAGCCCCGCACTAGGGAAACCCTGTGTCGCGGGTGCCATGGACACACACATAGACAACCACAAATTACACCCAAACTCACGAAAGAAATAAATGCAAGTCATACAAACATTTCTCCCGGCCCGGGAATCGAACCTGGGACCTCTGCGTGGCAGTCCGGCATGGTAACCGTTCGGCCACGGAGGCAGTTGTAGATCACTAACAGAAAACTATATATATTTTAGCAAAGTTTCACTATTATTTTTTATAAAAATATGAAATGCGTACTGACCTCCATCTCATTAGTGATCTAGCGGTGGCAGTGGTAAGGAAGGCTAATAAGATAGAGGAGAACGGCTGTCTCTTAACTGAGTGGTCGACGACGGTCCGAATCCCTGTGTTGGCATGGGTCTACCTATGACTAAGTTCTACCGCTAACAAATCCGGCCCGCAACCGGTGACATCCATCTATATAAATATTGCTCCGATAAACGAATTTCGATAAAATATATATCATCATAAATATCACTATTCAATCAAGGGCTGGGTTTCCTATACGGGTATCATTTTGTTTATCATCTTCAAATTTAAATTGTACGATCTTTGGTGAAGAAATAAAATATTGTTTTTTCTTTTAGTATCATCATGCAGTATTAAAATATTGAGATGACGCACCACAAAAATATCTAAAAAGCGTACAAATGCAGCCACTTGCGCACGCGATTCGAACCCCGCACCGTCCATAATAGTATCACTCATAATAATCAGTATTTCCATGTGATGAAATAGTTTAACAGACAATAATTTTTTATAAAACGTATGAGGTCGCATTTAAAATCATAATAGGCGATTATATGAATACGATAAAAATGGTTGACAATATTAAAGTTTTCAGCAAAATATAAATTAAGTTTTGTCGAGTATGAATTCCAGCAAGATTTTACGGAATTTTCAGTATTTCATTCAGGTTTCCGTATTTTTCGGTGGTGGTTAGTAAACAACGCTGTAATATTCACAAATTATTCAATAAGCTCATTTTTAATTTACATTTCGGAACGTTTACTTACGTTTATTAACATTTGTATTTTATACACGCCATTGGAACGGATTTTGGTGTAATATAATGTTTCTCTTATATTTTTTTATTGGTGATCATTTAATAGAGAACTAGGTCGCCTTTTAATTTTAAAAATTATTTGTTGTATTTTTCCTTTAGTCACTGTTAAGTGAGAATTCAATGTATAATTGATTTATAAGACGAATTATTTTGCATTATATCTCAACCCTGTCAGTAAGATAAACAAAACAACAAACTGCTAACAAACTGTTCGGCTATTTCGCAAAGTTCCGATAGCAATGTTCAAAACTAGATGTTATTTACAAATTGAAGTTCAGAGAAACCTTTACTATGTGTTCGTCTTTCCAAAGTTTGCAACTGACGCCGATATCGGGCGATACGTCCAATTTTCACACACAGTTTTTCACGTTTACGAGTACATCTTTTCGTCCTCGCTTTGCTTCAAACGGGTTGCTGGTGCAAATATAATTTTACTCAACTCAACCCAAATGACAGACCTCAAATATGGACACACAATCTCAAATTTTCACAACCTTTTTTGCGATTTTGTCAACCTTGTTACCAAGGCGTGAAAAGAACCAACTATAATCTACAATGCCGGTGCTGGAACCAAAAACAAAAATACATCACGTGGAAACGAAAACACACAAAGTGCTGTCAAGCGGATCTACCAAATTGATATTGCAATGTGTGCCCAATACTGAACGATCCCGGCCAAGACAGCGCGACAATCTTAGCCCATTACCTGCCTCTGTGGCCGAACGGTTACCATGCCGGACTGCCACGCAGAGGTCCCAAGTTCGATTCCCGGGCCGGGACAAATATTTCTATGGCCTACATTTATTACTCTCGAGAGTTTGGGTGTAATTTGTGGTTGTCTATATGTGTGTCCGTGGCATCCGCGACACAGGGTTTCCCTAGTGCGGGGCTATGTTGAGTGTGTGCGTGTGCATATTTGCCTGATAACTGAAGATTGTCACAGAATCTTCAGACTTTCATCATTAACCATTATTCATACTTCCTGCTATCACAACTGATAAGCATAACCTGCCACACCGGTCTAACGCAGGTTGGGACTTTACACGTGAATCTTCGTGGACTGCAGCTATAATCGCGATGTTTTCGTTTACCGTCAGCGAGACGTATTGCTACTTGTTAGTTGAGAAGTAAAAATCAGTGTAAATATGATTTGAAAATTATTGAATTTTTTGTAACTAATACTATCTAGTTGCGAACTCGAGAACGTGATGACGTATCTCGGACGAGTTGAAAAAAAAACGTAATGGCAGTGGCGCAAGAGTGTGTTAGTTTTGATTGTTTGCTGTGAATTTAAAGAGAGATTATAAATGCTGTGTCCTCGGCTGTGTACACTACACATACAAACCAGCCAGTTCGTAATTGGACATTGTTCTTTTGATTATCGTGTTTGTGAAGTATAATAATTATAAGTGTAAAATCAGAACGACTGTTTGATTTCGATTGCCCGAGTACCCAATGGACATTGCAGAAAAAAAAAGGCGATAACGCCAACATTCAAGATCCTGTACATCATTAGGGTAAAAATGATAAGCATATACCGCCGTAGGGATTCAAACTTTCAATTGAAAAGCAACTATCATGCGTGACGTGTCATTTTGGGTTCGCGATAAGTTACTCTCAACAGGCGCCGCAGCTTGTACTCAATTTATCCTAAGCAACTGAATACCAATATGTAATAAAGAGAGAACAAGCCACTTTCTCACATTCGTTGTCGTCGCGGATGCCTAGCGTCTGTAGGCGGTGGCGTTATCATGAAAATGTTAATAATACACCGATTAATCCATCTGTGCTATTTCTATATATTCACCCAGACACATATTAATTACAATCACTTACTGCTACACCACATCAGATAATACACGACATAACAAATTACCTACTCACTGACTGTGTACATCATTGATTAGTTAATATATTATTGACAATTATTGCAACTACATTTTCACTTAAATATTTTGACTTACCTAAGGACTACCTTCCAGTGCTGAGTGCCGCGAACCATCTTGACCTTCTTTTGTCCTAAACCTTATTTAATAACAGGAGCCATCCTCCGCAAACTGTTCTCAAAATGACCCTAATTTTCATTATCATTTCACACTTATGTTAGCCATAACTCTCTTCGAGGAGCAGTTTGCGTCGACGCAGTTTTGCCTAATTATGATCCTGGATAGCTATTATAAGGATTACTGTACTTATTTGACATTACTAAATCTGTAGGGTTTTGGCTGTAATAAAGTAATAATCAATATTAAAACACTGAAAATTAAGAAAGTCTATCTGTTTCCTCAGAAACAGAGATATTTATTTAGGAAACCAACAAGATCTTAGTCTTGTTGGTTTCCTAAATAAATATATTATAATATGTGGAGAGTGGTGAAATTACAGGCACATGGGACTTGTCAACTTATGTTTCAGGGCGACGGGCGCAGTGGTAGTGCCCCTCAGATCTTTGCAATTTAAAGCTCTGAGTGGCACTGTAACTGTTATGGACAGGCGTGTGGCTTCCCATCAGGCGCACGTCTTGCTCGTCCCGTCACATGACGTCATAAAAAAAGTGTCTTTTTATACTACTAATTTTTCTGTAATTCTTATAATATCTTATAACATCTTTGTAAGAAACCTCATGAAATCATTGTATCGTTATGCTCTCTGTCTACATGCCATCTCTTTCTAACTAAATTGCTATGTGTTTATACAAAAAATATTTAGGGTGTAACTATTATCTTAATTATTAGGAAACTTACGTCATTTTAATTAAAATAGATAAGTTCCGCGATTCGAGAAAGATATTTTACCTATTAACAAACACGAGGAGTACGCGATCGTGTTAGCGTGAGGAACAAGTGACGGAGTTGCAAATTTTAATTAGCCTACTTCACAGCCCTCGACACTGTTATTATTCACCTCACTCAAGGCCCAGGGATGCCTATCGCCTTTTTGCAGGTCAGTACTGGTTACTTAGGGCTCCTTTTCAATTTACGCATATTGACTTAATTAGAACGAAATGACTCATGTCATAACAAAAGAAAAGACCACGGACTTAACGTTAACCCGGCGCCAATGGCGTGAAAATAATTGATGAGGCCGAGAATGACACCGGGTCATCGTGAACATCGTTTTATGAATTTAAAGTAGTTGTCTAAATTTTAATAAATACGTATCAAATAAGGGTCTTATCGCCGCCCGTAATGTAAACAATAAAAAGATATCAACTGATTAGAAAAGTGACAGGTATCAAATGTCACGCGCGCCGATCAAGTAGGTATTGAAAAATTGATTAGGTAATAATCTTAGAGATTTGATTAAAAACATTATGTCCACCGCTATACTGTGAATAATCCTCAATGGTATACTTTTGTGTTTGAAAGTAAGCGGTGTAATGGTGTAACCCTACTAATAAACTTTAAGCAGGCAGCGGCGACATAACATTCACTCATCTCATTATTAGTTGGCTCATGCTTTATTTTAAACTTCGAAAGCTTCACCCTTCTCTGCCCACAAGTTTTCTGTTTTTGCTGCGAAATGCGATTAATTTTTGAAGCATTCATTTTAACCTATGGTTTTAACGTTGTGTGTTTTGTTTTACAAGAAGAATGAACACGGATGTCTTATTCACCAGTATTATGCATAAAATACGTAAAATAGATAATTCCTTTCAAATTAATACATTAAAGTATTATGTGTAATTATGCGTATAATGAAATACAATTGCAGTTCACACCGAGCTATTACAACATTCGTGTTAAATAAATAGAAGAAACTATTTGTACAGTGAAATTGCGA